ATCACGTCGATGAGGGGGGGTTGTCGGCGACTCGTGTGGCTCGAGGCCTACGCTGCGCCGCCCAAGCCCTACTGCCGATCCAGCGCCTGGCGTTTGGGGCGAGCCGCGGACGTCGTCGCTGATGGTATATGGCGGCGGCGGCGGCGGCTCGCCCTTCCCTCCGGCCGCAATTCCGATCCCGCCGCGCTCGCGGGAGGTGGCGCGCCCACCGCGGCACGGCCGTGGCTGCGCATACACCTTACCCTCTCTCCTCAACGGCTATCCGTGCTTGCTGTGCCCCTGCGTGGTGTGTTTCAAGTTCTTAGAACCCAAGGTGATAGAGGGCAAAAAGATCGATTGCGCTCTTGCCGATCCGCACCTACCTAGGCTCTTGGGTGGCGCGCCCCAGCTCTCTTCACAGCGAACCTGGTTGGAGGACACAAAGCGCGGGCTGTCAGCCGAACCCAGGTGCTGGCCGCGTTCGCCCGGGCATTCCACCGAGTCCACGTGTAGCCCGGCACACAGCGAAGCGTCCTTTTAGTGGAGCGCTCCCTTAGCTCGCGCTCCTCTCATGCCCTGCTCGGCTCACCCGCCACACGCTGCCTGACAGACAAACCACATATGGCCTTTCCGCACCTCTTCGCCACGCCCGAGCTCACCGCCTTTGGGCTCGCCACCGGCGTCATGCTCGCCTGCATGGTTGGCGACATGCTCATGTCGACCTTCTACACGCTCACGTGGAAGGGAGGAACCATGGACGACGGCGGCGGCGCGGGCGAGTTCAGCTCGGTCGTGGCCAGGGTGGCGTTCACGTGGGAGGGGCTGATCGCCGGCCACGCGCGGCCGGGCGGCTTCCCCGTCCAGAGCCTGCTGGACGCGATGGCGGTGCAGTCTGCCTCGTCCCGCCTGCTCGGACCGTTCATGATGCTCATCTGCAAGTGCGACGAGAGCAACATCCGGACGATCCGGGAGGCGTGGCTGGCGCACGGCTCTCCCGCGTCGCTGCGCGCGCTGCTGGCCGCCGAGAGGGCGGCCGGCGCGCAGCTCGGCGAGGGCCGGCTCGAAGAGTCGTCGGCGGCGCTCGCGCTGACGTGGGCCACTCGGATGCTCGGCTTCTGGCTCGGGATCCTGCGCGCGCTGGCGGACGAGGAGGTGGTCGCCGGCATGAGCATGCCGCGCTACGCGACCGGCGTCGTGTACAACGACTG